TGAGGGACTGATTACCTCATCTTTTGTGCATAGTTCTACTGTCTTCTAATTATGTCCTAGAATTTGTATTGATAAAGCCACTGGATGGCGAAACGTCTACAATAAAGATGTCCAGATGTCTTGATCGTGGTCCTGATCGTGGTCTTGGTCGTCGTCCTGGTCGTGGTCCTAGTCCTGGTCGTAGTCCTGGTCGTGGTCGTGGTCTTGATCGTGGTCCTGATCGTGGTCTTGGTCCTAGTCCTGGTCGTAGTCCTGGTCGTGGTTCTGGTCGTGGTCTTGATCGTGGTCCTGATCGTGGTCTTGGTCGTCGCCCTGGTCTTAGTCCTGGTCGTGGTCCTGGTCGTGGTCCTGGTCGTGGTCTTGATCGTGGTCCTGATCGTGGTCTTGGTCGTCGTCCTGGTCGTGGTCCTAGTCCTGGTCGTGGTCCTGGTCCTAGTCGTGGTCTTGATCGTGGTCCTGATCGTGGTCTTGGTCGTCGTCCTGGTCGTGGTCCTAGTCCTGGTCGTAGTCCTGGTCGTGGTCTTGATCGTGGTCCTGATCGTGGTCTTGGTCGTGGTCCTAGTCCTGGTCGTGGTCCTAGTCCTGGTCGTGGTCCTGGTCGTGGTCCTGGTCGTGGTCCTGGTCGTGGTCTTGATCGTGGTCCTGATCGTGGTCTTGGTCGTCGTCCTGGTCGTGGTCCTAGTCTTGGTCGTAGTCCTGGTCGTGGTCGTGGTCTTGATCGTGGTCCTGATCGTGGTCTTGGTCGTCGTCCTGGTCGTGGTCCTAGTCCTGGTCGTAGTCCTGGTCGTAGTCCTGGTCGTGGTCTTGATCGTGGTCCTGATCGTGGTCTTGGTCGTCGTCCTGGTCCTAGTCCTGGTCGTGGTCCTGGTCGTGGTCTTGATCGTGGTCTTGATCGTGGTCCTGATCGTGGTCTTGGTCGTCGTCCTGGTCGTGGTCCTAGTCCTGGTCGTGGTCCTGGTCGTGGTCGTGGTCTTGATCGTGGTCCTGATCGTGGTCTTGGTCGTCGTCCTGGTCGTGGTCCTAGTCCTGGTCGTCGTCCTGGTCCTAGTCCTGGTCGTGGTCCTGGTCGTGGTCTTGATCGTGGTCCTGATCGTGGTCTTGGTCGTCGTCCTGGTCGTGGTCCTAGTCCTGGTCGTAGTCCTGGTCGTGGTCCTGGTCTTGATCGTGGTCCTGATCGTGGTCTTGGTCGTCGTCCTGGTCCTAGTCCTGGTCGTGGTCCTGGTCGTGGTCCTGGTCATGGTCTTGATCGTGGTCCTGATCGTGGTCTTGGTCGTCGTCCTGGTCGTGGTCCTAGTCCTGGTCGTAGTCCTGGTCGTGGTCCTGGTCGTGGTCTTGATCGTGGTCCTGATCGTGGTCTTGGTCGTCGTCCTGGTCCTAGTCCTGGTCGTGGTCCTGGTCGTGGTCCTGGTCGTGGTCTTGATCGTGGTCCTGATCGTCGTCCTGGTCGTGGTCCTGGTCGTGGTCTTGATCGTGGTCCTGATCGTGGTCTTGGTCGTCGTCCTGGTCGTGGTCCTAGTCCTGGTCGTAGTCCTGGTCGTGGTCTTGATCGTGGTCCTGATCGTGGTCTTGGTCGTCGTCCTGGTCCTAGTCCTGGTCGTGGTCCTGGTCGTGGTCCTGGTCGTGGTCTTGATCGTGGTCCTGATCGTCGTCCTGGTCGTGGTCCTGGTCGTGGTCCTGGTCGTGGTCTTGATCGTGGTCCTGATCGTGGTCTTGGTCGTCGTCCTGGTCGTGGTCCTGGTCGTGGTCCTGGTCGTGGTCTTGATCGTGGTCCTGATCGTGGTCTTGGTCGTCGTCCTGGTCGTGGTCCTGGTCGTGGTCGTGGTCTTGATCGTGGTCCTGATCGTGGTCTTGGTCGTCGTCCTGGTCGTGGTCCTAGTCCTGGTCGTAGTCCTGGTCGTGGTCCTGGTCGTGGTCTTGATCGTGGTCCTGATCGTGGTCTTGGTCGTCGTCCTGGTCCTAGTCCTGGTCGTGGTCCTGGTCGTGGTCCTGGTCGTGGTCTTGATCGTGGTCCTGATCGTCGTCCTGGTCGTGGTCCTGGTCGTGGTCCTGGTCGTGGTCTTGATCGTGGTCCTGATCGTGGTCTGGTCGTCGTCCTGGTCGTGGTCCTGGTCGTGGTCCTGGTCGTGGTCTTGATCGTGGTCCTGATCGTGGTCTTGGTCGTCGTCCTGGTCGTGGTCCTGGTCGTGGTCCTGGTCGTGGTCTTGATCGTGGTCCTGATCGTGGTCTTGATCGTGGTCTCTTGGTCGTGTCCTTTGGGCGTGGTCCTGGTCGTGGTCACGTGTCGGGGTGGTCCTTGTCGTGGTCCTGATCGTGGTCTTGGTCGTCGTCCTGGTCGTGGTCCTGGTCGTGGTCCTGGTCGTGGTCTTGATCGTGGTCCTGATCGTGGTCTTGGTCGTCGTCCTGGTCGTGGTCCTGGTCGTGGTCCTGGTCGTGGTCTTGATCGTGGTCCTGATCGTGGTCTTGGTCGTCGCCTGGTCGTGGTCCTGGTCGTGGTCCTGGTCGTGGTCTTGATCGTGGTCCTGATCGTGGTCTTGGTCGTCGTCCTGGTCGTGGTCCTGGTCGTGGTCCTGGTCGTGGTCTTGATCGTGGTCCTGATCGTGGTCCTGATCGTCGTCCTGGTCGTGGTCCTGGTCGTGGTCTTGATCGTGGTCCTGATCGTGGTCCTGATCGTGTCCTGATCTGTCGTCCTGGTCGTGGTCCTGGTCGTGGTCTTGATCGTGGTCCTGATCGTGGGTCTTGGTTCCGTCGTTCCTGGTCGTGGTCTAGTCCTGGTCGTAGTCCTGGTCGTGGTCTTGATCGTGGTCCTGTCGTGGTTCTGGTCGTCGTCCTGGTCTAGTCCTGGTCGTGGTCTGGTCGTGGTCCTGGTCGTGGTCTTGATCGTGGTCCTGATCGTGTCCTCTTCGTGGTCCTGGTCGTTTGGGCCTGGTCGTGGTCTTGATCGTGGTCCTGATCGTGGTCTTGGTCGTCGTCCTGGTCGTGGTCCTGGTCGTGTCCTGGTCGGTGGTCTTGATCGTGGTCCTGATCGTGGTCTTGGTCGTCGTCCTGGTCGTGGTCCTGGTCGTGGTCGTGGTCTTGATCGTGGTCCTGATCGTGGTCTTGGGCGTGTCCTGGTCGTGGTCCCAGTCCTGGTCGTAGTCCTGGTCGTGGTCCTGGTCGTGGTCTTGATCGTGGTCCTGATCGTGGTCTTGGTCGTCGTCCTGGTCCTAGTCCTGGTCCTGGTCGTGGTCTGGTCCCTGGTCATGGTCTTGATCGTGGTCCTGATCGTGGTCTTGGTCGTCGTCCTGGTCGTGGTCCTAGTCCTGGTCGTAGTCCTGGTCCTAGTCCTGGTCGTGGTCCTGGTCGTGGTCTTGATCGTGGTCCTGATCGTGGTCTTGGTCGTCGTCCTGGTCGTGGTCCTAGTCCTGGTCGTAGTCCTGGTCGTGGTCCTGGTCTTGATCGTGGTCCTGATCGTGGTCTTGGTCGTCGTCCTGGTCCTAGTCCTGGTCGTGGTGTCCTGGTCGTGGGCCTGGTCTATGGTCTTGATCGTGGTCCTGATCGTGGTCTTGGTTCGTCGTCCTTGATCGTGGTCCTAAGTCCTGGTCGTAGTCCTGGTCGTGGTCCTGGTCGTGGTCTTGATCGTGGTCCTGATCGTGGTCTTGGTCGTCGTCCTGGTCCTAGTCCTGGTCGTGGTCCTGGTCGTGGTCCTGGTCGTGGTCTTGATCGTGGTCCTGATCGTCGTCCTGGTCGTGGTCCTGGTCGTGGTCTTGATCGTGGTCCTGATCGTGGTCTTGGTCGTCGTCCTGGTCGTGGTCCTAGTCCTGGTCGTAGTCCTGGTCGTGGTCTTGATCGTGGTCCTGATCGTGGTCTTGGTCGTCGTCCTGGTCCTAGTCCTGGTCGTGGTCCTGGTCGTGGTCCTGGTCGTGGTCTTGATCGTGGTCCTGATCGTCGTCCTGGTCGTGGTCCTGGTCGTGGTCCTGGTCGTGGTCTTGATCGTGGTCCTGATCGTGGTCTTGGTCGTCGTCCTGGTCGTGGTCCTGGTCGTGGTCCTGGTCGTGGTCTTGATCGTGGTCTGATCGTGGCCCTTTGATCGTCGTCCTGGTCGTGGTCCTGGTCGTGGTCCCTGGTCGTGGTCTTGATCGTGGTCCTGATCGTGGTCTTGGTCGTCGTCCTGGTCGTGGTCCTGGTCGTGGTCCTGGTCGTGGTCTTGATCGTGGTCCTGATCGTGGTCTTGGTCGTCGTCCTGGTCGTGGTCCTGGTCGTGGTCCTGGTCGTGGTCTTGATCGTGGTCCTGATCGTGGTCTTGGTCGTGGTCCTGGTCGTGGTCCTGGTCGTGGTCTTGATCGTGGTCCTGATCGTGGTCTTGGTCGTGGTCCTGGTCGTGGTCCTGGTCGTGGTCTCCTGGTCGTGTCTTGATCGTGGTCCTGATCGTGGTCTTGGTCGTCGTCCTGGTCGTGGTCCTGGTCGTGGTCCTGGTCGTGGTCTTGATCGTGGTCCTGATCGTGGTCTTGGTCGTCGTCCTGGTCGTGGTCCTAGTCCTGGTCGTGGTCCTGGTCGTGGTCCTGGTCGTGGTCTTGATCGTGGTCCTGATCGTGGTCTTGGTCGTCATCCTGGTCGTCGTCCTGGTCGTGGTCCTGGTCGTGGTCTTGATCGTGGTCCTGATCGTGGTCTTGGTCGTCATCCTGGTCGTGGTCCTAGTCCTGGTCGTAGTCCTGGTCGTGGTCCTGGTCGTGGTCCTGGTCGTGGTCTTGATCGTGGTCCTGATCGTGGTCTTGGTCGTCATCCTGGTCGTCGTCCTGGTCGTGGTCCTGGTCGTGGTCCTGGTCGTGGTCTTGATCGTGGTCCTGATCGTGGTCTTGGTCGTCATCCTGGTCGTCGTCCTGGTCGTGGTCCTGGTCGTGGTCTTGATCGTGGTCCTGATCGTGGTCTTGGTCGTGGTCCTGGTCGTGGTCCTGGTCCTGGTCGTGGTCTTGATCGTGGTCCTGATCGTGGTCTTGGTCGTCGTCCTGGTCGTGGTCCTAGTCCTGGACTGGACAGGTGTTGTTGTGGTGGTGATGGTGTTCAGACACAGTACAGTGTAGCGGCCTTAACTGCGCCACCACACGCCACCACAGTGTTCCTCAACACAGTCTTGCTGTGCTGTGAGACCTTCACTTATATTAAGTCACTGACTACACAATGTTCATGGTAGAGAGACTGCTGAAGTTATCTGGCAGTAAATATGGTCTTTGTAGACTCTTTATTACACCAGAAACAACTTCCTGGACGTCAAAATGCCGGCATATCAGCACCTCGCATATTTCAGACGCTACACGCAATCGTAAATATATTATTTTTGTGTTATATATTTGTCTTTAAGGAATGAGGTTCCTTGATGTCAGCACAGGCTCCTGATCCAGAGAAACTGAGCTACTCTCCGTTTTACACGGCGATGTCTGGGTTCGATTAACAGGCGAGGGTAGAAATATTGGACGTGTTTGCTTACACCTGTTGTCTATGTTCACCCATCAGTAAAATGGGTACTTAGGTGTTAGTCGACTGGTGTGCGTCGCATCCTGGGACAAAACTGACCTAATTTGCCCGAAATGTTCAGCATAACAAGGTATAGTAGTATGTCATTGATGTCAGCTGGGCCTGTATATCTTGTACATGTACTTGTATTAAATAAAGATATTATTACTTATGGTAATATACAACGACCCCAATGGAAATAAGTTACTTTGTCTGAATTTTTTGGGTTAACTTAGGTTATTTACACTATGTATGATAATGTACTTATATGTTGATGTGCCTAAATAAATAGGGCAGGTCCAGATCCTTGACACCCCACTGGTAACATTTTTCTTCTAGGACATTTTTTTTAATACTCGTTTACTGTGTTTTTATTGAAATTCAACACCCGCATCCAGCAGATAACAAAGGTCTCCAACTCAGTATGCATCATCTAAGATACATTACTCAGTATCTCAAATAGGACTACTTGGTTGGTATTACTCTAATCTATCCTTACCTCACCCAGTCTGGTGCCAGGCAACACACTCCTCCACTCTTCAAAAGTTTAAACTTAGTATGAACTCAAAATTGAATGAACAACTGTCACCGAATAAACAGAGTAATAGATGAGAGGGATTGATCTGTGGCCCATGAATTAACAGGCCAGCACACTAACACCTCAGCTACGAAGTCTTCTAATAGAAAAATCTCGGAAGTACTACAGACTATACATATTACCATCACAGGTGGAATCTGTAACCCAACTGCCAATTTCTCCACAGCCCAGGAACTATAGTGGCATATTTGATTTCACCTTTCAATGCCATATAGTCTGTAATGAACAGTTGTCAATAAATAACAGTGATACCACTGCACATACTCATAATACAAGACACAAAAATATCCCTGATATCCCTTGTATTCAACTCAACTTGTGTAAAAACTTGAGCATAAAAGGCCCTAACATCTGGAAAAAAAAAAAATGCCAGAAGATCCCAAAGGTTCTCCATCTGCCATCTGCTTCAAAGCTATGTACTGTTAAAAAGCACCTCCTTACCTTAATGTAATCTTCACAGCAATATACTATGATAAATCCTGAAAGCTGTTATTTTCATCCAGTCTTATCCTTGTTTCTGTTTCAAGTTTCCTTCAACTCCTATATAGTGTTAGATAAGCGTATATGGTACTCTCCCATTATGTTTTGTATTGTAATTTAAGTATTGCAACTATAGTTTCATTTACCCTGCAAAACTAGACAGCTATAATTTTTTTTTGTTGCAATTGTTTTATGAATTAACCTGTAACTTGCACCTACATATGTTTAAGTTCCTACTAATACTATGTATTAGACCCTTAGAGAAAATATAGAATACAGTGGACCCCCGCATAACGATGGCATCACATAGCGATTAATCCGCATACCGCTTGCTTTAATCGCAAAAATTTTGCCGCGCATACCGATTAAAAACCCGCTCACCGATTTTCGTCCGAGACGCGTCCAATGTGCGCCCTCAGCCAGCCTCACATGTGCCGCCCGTGCCATTGTTTACCAGCCAGCCTCCGCGGTAACATCCAAGCATACAATCGGAATATTTCGTATTATTACAGTGTTTTCGGTGCTGTTTCTGGAAAATAAGTGACCATGGGCCCCAAGAAAGCTTCTAGTGCCAACCGTACACCAATAAGGTGAAATTTCCAATAGAAATGAAGAAAGAGATCATTGATAAGTATGAAAGTGGAGTGCGTATCGCCGACCGGTCAAGTTGTACAAGAAACCCCAATCAACCATCGCTACTATTGTGGCACCAGAAAGACAATAAAGGGAAGCTGTTCTTCCCAAAAGGTTTAACTGTGTTTTCGAAACAAAGATCGCAAGTGATGGAAGATGTTGAGGACTCTTATTGGTGTGGATAAATGAAAAACAGCTAGCAGGAGATAATGTCTCTAAAGCGATCATATTAAAAAGGGCTAGGAAGTTGCATGAGGATTTAATTAAAAAATCCCTGCAACTAGTGATGATGTGAGTGAATTTAAGGCCAGCAAAGGTTGGTTTGAGAGAATTTAAGAAGCGTAGTGGCATCCAAAGTGTGATAAGGCATGGTGAGGCTGCCAGTTCGGACCACAAAGGGGCTAAAAAAATATGTGCAGAATTCAAGGGGTACATAGACAGTGAGGACTGAAACCTGAACAAGTGTTTAATTGTGATGAAACAGGCCTGTTCTGGAAGAAAATCCCAAGCAGGCCCTTTCCCATAACTCAGGGGGAAAAGGCACTCCAGGACATAAGCCTATGAAAGACAGGCTTACTTTGTTGATGTGTGCCAATGCTAGGGGTTTGATTGCAAAGTTAAGCCTTATTAGTGTATCACTCTGAAACTCCCAGAGCGTTCGGGCAAAAGAATGCCCTAAAGGATAAATTTGTGTGTGCTGTGGAGGGCAAACATAAAGGCATGGTCACTAGGGACTTTTTCTATAACTGGTTACCCCAATGCTTTTTCCCCCCAAATGTGAAAGATTACCAACTGAAAAGAAATTAGAACTTAAGTGCCTCCTGGTGTTAGACAAATGCCCTGGTCATCTACAGACGTGGCAGAGCGGGCTTTATGGGGGCATGAGCTTCATTAAGGGGAAGTTTTTGCCTCCTAATACCACTCCTCCTCCTGCAGCCCATGGTACCAGGTTTATTGCAAACTTCAAAAAAACGTACACAAAAGCTCTGTTTGAAAGGTGCTTTGTAGTGACCTCAGAAACTCAACTGACTCTAAGAGAGTTTTGGAAGAGCACTTTAATATCCTCAATTGTGTAAACCTTATAGGTAAGGCTTTGGGGGGGAGTGACTAAGAAGACCTTGAACTCTGCTTGGAAGAAACTGTGGCCAAAGTGTAGACAAAAGGGATTTTGAAGGGTTTTAGGCTAACCCTGAGAGGATTATGCCACTTGAGGAATCCATTGTGGCATTGGGAAAAAACCTTGGGTTGGAGGTTAGTGGGATGATGTGGAAGAGTTGGTGGAGGAGGACAATGAAGAACTAACCACTGATGAGCTGATTTGATCAACTTCAAGAGCAAAAAGGGGAACCTGAGGAAACTGGTTCAGAGGAGGGAGAGAGAAATTTAAAAAAGTTGCCTACTACAAAGATTAAAGAAATCTGTGCAAAGTGGCTTGAAGTGCAAACCTTCATGGATAAAAAACACCCTCACACAGCTATTGCAAGCCGTGTTGGCAACCTGTACACTGACAATGTTGTGAAACACTTTAGGGAAGTCATAAAGGAACGAGAGGTACAGGCCACTATGGACGAGATATGTTGTGCGAAAGAAGTCCAGTGACTCTGAAGCTGGTCCTAGTGGCATTAAAAGAAGAAGGAAGTAACCCCAGAAAAGGACTTGACACCTCAAGTCTTAATGGAAGGGGATTCCCCTTCTAAACACTAACACTCTCTCTCCCTCCTCCCATCCCATCAATCATCACCAGATCTTCAATAAAAGTAAGTGTCATGTAAGTGTGCATGCCTTTTTCAGTTTGTGTGTATTAAAATTAACATTTCATGTGGTAAAAAAATTTTTTTTTTCATACTTTTGGGTGTCTTGCACGGATTAATTTTATTTCCATTATTTCTTATGGGGAAAATTCATTCACATACCGATTATTTCGCATAACAATTACCCCTCTTGCACGGATTAAAATCGTTATGCGGGGGTCCACTGTATTTTTTTATTAACACATCGGCCGATTCCCACCAAGGCAGGGTGGCCTGAAAAAGAAAAACTTTCATCATTCACTCCATCACTGTCTTCCCAGAGGGGTGCTTTACACTACAGTTATAAAACTGCAACATTAACACCCCTCCTTCAGAGTGTAGACACTGTACTTCCCATCTCCAGGACTCAAGTCCAGCCTGCCGGTTTCCCTGAATCCCTTCATAAATGTTACTTTGCTCACACTCCAACAGCACGTCAAGTATTAAAAACCATTTGTCTCCATTCATTCCTATCAAATATGTTCATGCACGCTTGCTGGAAGTCCAAGCCTCTCGCACACAAAACCTCCTTTACCCGCTTCCTCCAACCCTTTCTACGCCGACCCCTACCCCGCCTTCCCTCCACTACAGATTTATACACTCGAAGTTATTCTGTTTTGTTCCATTCTCTCTACGTGTCCGAACCACCTCAACAACCCCTCCTCAGCCCTATGGATAATAGTTTTGGTAATCCCACACCTCCTAATTTCCAGACTACGAATTCTGTGCATTATATTCACACCACACATTGCCCTCAGACATGACATCTCCACTGCCTCCAGCCTTCTCATAGCAGCATTCATCACCCATGCTTCACACCCATACAAGAGTGTTGGTACAACTATACTCTCAATCATTTCCCTCTTTGCTTCCATGGACAAAGTTCTTTGTCTCCACAGACTCCGAAGTGCACCACTCACCCTTTTCCCCTCATCAATTCTATGGTTCACCTCATTCTTCATAGACCCATCCGTTGACACGTCCACTCCTAAATATCTGAATACAATCACCTCCTCCATACTCTCTCCCTCCAATCTGATATTGAATCTTTTGTCACCTAATCTTTTTGTTATCCTTATAGCCTTATTCTTTCCTATTCACTTCTAATTTTCTTCTCTTACATACCCTACCAAATTCATCCACCGACCTCTGCAACTTCTCTTCAGAATCTTCCAAAAGCACAGTGTCATCAGCAAAGAGCGACTGTGACAACTCCCACTTTATGTGTGATTCTTTATCTTTTAACTCCACACCTCTTGCCAAGATCCTCACATTCACTTCTCTTACAACCCTAGCAATAAATATATT